TGGGCTTTCAGCATTTGCTGAAATCCGAGACTCGGTGCACTCCAACCAACTGGCGTGCTGCAACTGTATAGACCCCACTTCGTGAAATGTTGGCACAGAGGGCTCTTGTTGATTTGCTGGCCCGCCTTCACTTAGGGCGGGCACTAGGCTTGCTGGGGCCTTAGCCCAGAACATGTACATCATGGCAAGGCCCCTTCTTGAGGGCTCAATCCTCACAGCTAGATTGTTTTTAACTTTTAACAAAATATTTTCCTGTATGCCCCTTGCTTTTTTTTTCCGGGGCCATGCTGTATTTTGCCCTCCGCCAATTAGCCCTCTGATATGCTTGTCTCTGTTGCTGAACTACATACCAGGCTTCTTGTGTGCGCACTGCGCACTAGTCTTTCTGTCTATGGTTTCTTGGCATCACTCTTTTTTTATGTGAAGTTATGTCCATATAAGAGGAATTCTTCAGAATGAAACCATAGTCGCGAGAAGCTTCAGCAATATGAACATGAAATTAGTCACAATGCACTCCATACGGAACCGATCGCAGTGTAGAATGACTCCGAATAAGTCATGAATCACTCAATCATGTTCCACACTCAACACCAAGCAACCAGAAGTGAGACAGAGGTAGAGAAGCAGTACAGCGACATACAATTGAAATTTGAAACGGTTCTTCCGTCCCTGCCCCGCCACGTCTAGAACCTTCTTCCACCACTCGCTACCTTAGCATGCAACTTCCCCCTGACTACACATCTATGAAGTCTCTCTCTGCATGTGCCCTTATATTGCACTCTCCTCTTCTGGGTAGAAATAGTATCCACCTACAGCCAAGCCTTCACACCTTTAATTAAAAGGAGCAAAGGGGAGGAGCGCGGGGGCGAGGGGCCAGGGGGGAGGGGGCAGAGATGAGGGGGCAGGGGGGGAGGTGAGGGGGGCCTAGAAAGCACACAGGAATCTTTGCTGCAAAAAGGAAACTGAGAAAAACAAAGTGTGTATAGCTTACCTGGAAAGAGAATGCGCAAGACGGAAGACAGCTCTCCCTGTAGTTGTGTGGAATAAATGGCGAAACCTGGCGACAGCAGATCTTTAGCTCTGGATCGGGCTCACCTGAAAAAAACATGCATCAGATGCGAACCAGAAATTCATCTGAGTCTACGAGGACTGAGTGCTCTATCAAGAACTTAACTGCTACCCAGAACCCATGTGGCAAAAATGGTGCCCAAAGTCATGGGTTCGAACGCTGATGAAAACGGATGAATGAGACAAATGAAGAAAAGATCAGACAGCATTAAGCACCCTGAAAATGTTCTTGTTGCCTTTTCTGCGTAGTACTTCCTGTTCTCTTTTCCTTTTGCCTTCTTTCACGGTTTGTCCCTACAGCTCTGCCTTTTCACTGTGCCTTTCAGCTGCAAGCCTAGCCACACACCCTCATCTGCCATAACAGCACACTTGCATGCTGTGAAAAGGATGACAGAGGTAAGGGGCGATGGTAAGGAGAGACAGAGAGTGGCGAGAGTGCAAGGGAAGACAAGGGGGGAGATGGTAAGGAGAGACTGAGAGCAGAGAGAGTGCAAGGGAGAGACAGAGTGGAGAGAGTGCAAGGGAGAGACAGAGAGTGGAGAGGACAGTGTAAGGAAACATCAATGGAGACTCAGGAGTCGGTCTGTCCTTGGCAAAGAAGGGGACAAGGACGGTAGGGATGCAATTCGTGATGAGATGAAGACCTAGCTGAGGRCTTTCAGCAGACCGATTGTCACAWTGGCTGGCCATAACCAAGCCCACGAAACACTCTCGGCAAATGGCATGCCAATTGCAGGCATGGACAAAAGAACAATATGCATCAGATGGGAGCATGCATTCATAAAATCCCTGGCTGCATAATGGACGTGTGATGTCTGGGTGCGAAGATTGCGCACAGTCAGGAAAAGGGGGGCCAGGCCTCGTGACTGTAGAAACCTTGGCATTATCGTGACTCTGGCAAAGACGATGACACCTGCAGTCGAATGTACCAGTATCTGTGACCATGCAGAGAAGAAGGCCACAGTGTGTTGACGCGATGCCATGCTCCAGTACCTGATGCACTCAACCACCTGAGAGTGGCACAGTTCAAGCTGGCAGACCCTCGTTGCAACTTGCGCAACCTTCCGAGTCTCAACTGTAAAGCCTATTTCCCTGGTGTAGCTACTACCTGCCCCTAGGCAAGGAAGCTTCACATCACACTGAACAGCCCTCATTGTGACTTGCATAACCTCATTTGTGAAGCCTTCCTCCCTGGTTTTTGTTGCTGCCTTCTGTGACGAGTCAATAGCAGGTTTTACTCTACACAGCCTGAAGGAGCAACTCCAGAAGATTTACATGACACTGAAGGGCAATTGCAAGAACGACAGATGGACGGGAGCTGGTGGTCAATTGCAAGAACGACAGATGGACGGGAGCTGGTAGCAGCCAGACCACAGAGATTCGGGAGGTCCTTAACAAGACTCAAGGAATGGGGATCAGAGAGATGTTCATTCTTCCACGAATAGGAATGTGGATCACAGAGATGTTCATTCTTCCACGAACAGGATTAAGCACTGGGCGCTGGTGGACAATTTCTGTGTTACCCAAGTGATGCCCGGGATGGCCTGGGCTGCTCCGCATGTGGTGATTTCCAGATCGCCCCACGTGGTCTGCAGACTCTGCACCCTGCAGGGAAATTTGCAAGTCGACAATGTGATTTTCCAATCCCCCGATGTCTGGGGCTGCATCCTGCATGGGGGAATGCAGAGGATGACCCACACAGCATGATGACATTACATAGAGTGCTACTAGTGTATGTATACTGAGCAACAACATGCTTGACCGGGCTAGTGGCCAACATAACAATTAGAATGTCATGAGACAGTTCAGTGAAAAATCTGCCATGTCTTTGACTTGTTTTTGGATAGATTTCACAAA